GCTTGCGGTTGCCAGGGGGAAGACGGGGTGGGAAGGGACAGACTGGGAGTTCGAGATTGGTGGATACTGACAGGTATATATGGAATAGATAAACAAGATTATACCACAGAGCACAGGGAAGTATATACAAGATAGTTCACGGGGAAAAAGAATGTGATGATGAATATACGTATATTCACGTATGACTGAAAGTTGTGCTCTACACTGGAAACTGACACAACATTGTAATCTAACTAAAACTCAATTATAAATCAATCAATCAATTAATTAAAAAACAAAACAACACACATTCCCAAACCGCGACATCAGAACTTCTGGGAGGGAGTCAGATATCTGTTTTCAAGTTCTTGAGCTATTTCTATGATTACACTTTGGGGAGCACTGATTTAAGTAAAGAGCCTGGCCTTATGGAGGCGAACTTTAAATTTCTAGAAGTTCTGCTTGTCTAGACTCCTTGACAGGCTGGATAAACTGAGAGTCTGTGCATCAGTGCTGGTAGGTGGGCAGTAAATCTGTGTCATTTACATTCATGCCAAGCTGTTCAGATGCTGCAGGGACGTGAAAGCTGGGTGATAGCCCTGTGGGACGCACGGGGTCGGGGCATAGACCAGGGGAACCACCAGGGGCTGCAGAGGAGCTGAGGAGGGGGTCCAACTGCTATGGGCTGAACTGTGCCCCTCCAAGTCCATGTCGTGGCCCTAACCCCTCCTCCTCCACCATGTGACTGTATTTGGAGATGAGGCCTTTAAGGAGGTAATTAAGATTAAATGATGTCATAAGGGGGGCCCAGACCCAACAGGACTGGTGTCCTTACAAGAGGAGAAAAGAGTCACCAGCAGTGAGTGAGCAGAGAGAGGAAGCGCCATGTGAGGACACAGGGAGGACTCGGCCATCTGCATGCCACGGAGAGGGCCCTCGGGGGAACCAACCTGCTGGCACCTTGATCTCCAACTTCCAGCCTCCAGGACTGTCTTTTGTATCTGTTCTGGCCACCCGAGTAGGCGGAGACCCCAAGGAAGCATGGACCCCTGAGAGAGGTGCAAGGACAGCGAGGAGCAGGCGTGGAGGACGAGACCAGGTGGGGCTGGGGTGAGGGGTGTGCCTCACACCCACGCCTGCTGTCTTCCTTCCGCTGTGAACCTGGGCACCTACTCCAGGCAGCCAGAGCTTCGCGTGCTGCCACGGCAAGGGCCCAGCCACCCATGTGAGCTGCCGGGATCCCCCAGGGGCAGCCTCAGAGGCAGGGGCACGGTCTGGCTTTGCCTCCCCTTGCCCCCCGTCAGGACTCAGGAGGTGCAGGCCCCTGAAGGTGAAAGTAGGCGCTGCCTAACACAGGTGCGTTTTCAGGCTGGCACAGGCCCCAGGCCGTTTGTGCAGACAGCTTTCCACCTCTGGGTTCCTGGGAAGCAGAAGTGTCCATTTTATGGACTCCGATTTAACTCTGCCCCTGGTGAGTATCTGATCAGGCAGTGAAGTGGACACACAAACACCAAGCCAAATCAAGCAGCTCTCACCTCGCAAACCTGACTCAGGTTAGACTAAGAACCAAGCCCCCGCAAGGCGGTGTGACCTGTGCACCGTCACAGCTGAGAAATGGCTTAAACGAGAAATACCTTCTTTCAGTTTATTCTGAGAAACTTTGGACTGATTCCCCTAACCAAAAAGAGAAACCCTGTTCAGGAGGACTCTGCCCTAATTGTTCCTGTGACGCGTAATAGCTGAGTCCGCCCCTAGCTCAGAACTCATATTTCTGGGAGAAACGTGCTGCATTTAAATTACATCCTCAGGGTTTAGTCACATAGTTTCCACATGACTCATGCTCTCCCAGAAAATCCAGCACACGGCAGAAGCCGACTCAGCAGTTTCCCCCACACGGCCGCCTCCACACTCACGCACCCACCCTCGCATCCAGCGACTGGGGTGAGCGTTTCCAGAGAGCCTCGTGGGTGCAGAGCTGCGCATCTGAGGCCGTGAGCAGGGGCCCTGGGGCTCACCGGAGGCCAGAGCTTTCACACTGGACAGGACGTTTTAATTTCCCAGTTAGGACATGAAAGATCCCACAGCTCTCCACCAAGGCAGCCCTGATTCTCTGATCAAAATCACCAGTGAGGGACCTGGGAGAGCGTCTGTAAAGAGGGGCACATCCCCCGGAGGGAAGGGCCAGGGCTGGGATGGCGGGAGGAGTTACAGCCCGGTGCATGTGCTCCACGTGCCAGCAATGGTTTGTACACTTAAGAGTCAGATGCCAGCTGAGAGGTGAAAGGCAGGTGCGGGCCCAGGACCCAGCGAGCGTCTCGATCCTCATCCTGATGGTGACGGCCTGAAGCCACACTGCGGCCTTCGGCACCTTCCTGACCCTGAGTGGAGAAGACTCCGTCCTGCTCAGAGACCTGAGGCTCAGTGGACTCATGCTACGCCTCCCTACACCCAGCGAGGAGGGACTTCCTCCCCCCAGCTCCGAACCGCCAGAGGCCCAGGGCGGCTCTGTCGGTGGCCCCGGGCCGCCCAGCGCAGACAGGAGGGAGCAGTACCGCCACAGCCCGACCCAGCGGCCACAAGCTGCCCCGAACCACGTGACGGTCCATATCAACCCCGAGAGCTCCCACCACCACCGCCAGACCCTGCTGGCTCCGCACCTCCCGCAGCGTGAGGTGCGAGCAAGGCCACGCCAGCCACCCCTGCAGGTCCTTCTTCTGCTCTCATGGCGGTAGGAGCAGCAGGAAGGCGACAGAGCGCCGAGGGGCTCTTCACCACCCTCACCCATTAGCACACCATCCTTGCCTATTAGTACATCACCCAGTGCACCACCCTTACCTGTTAGCACACAACCCTCACCTGTCCGTGCACCACTCTTACCTACAAAAGACTATTAGTGGAATATTCATCTCAAAACATGAAAAATACATCCAAATACAAAAGCATTTTGTGTGTGTGTGGACCAGCACGAATGGAGCAGAACTAAAAAGCAAGCTTAATCACACAAACAACCGGTAGTGGCTCCAGCACCTGGCCAACCCCAAACTGGAGCAAAGGGTAAATAATCTGGATTATCCAGAGAAGCCTGGGAAACAACCCCACAGAGGGTCGCGTCCGCCTGCATTACTGAACTGTCAGGGGTCTTCTGCGAACACAGCATTTGATCACAAGCAGCTCTAGTTTCAGAAGCTTATTATCATCATGAGTCACTCCATTATACCAGGGTTTCAGTTTTCAAAATCCAGAGTTAAGAAAAAAGCATTTCATGACACAGCAGGATCACAGGACATCACAACGTGGGACACCCTGGTATGAGAACCAGAGCCCTGTGCCTCACCGGGGAGCGCATTTCCGGCCCTTTTACAGCCACTTCCTGGCTGGGCTCTGGGGGGCTGCTCCCCACTCCTCCCCCTCTGACACGGCCCCCTGTCCTGAAGAGCACGTCTCTCCACCACTGGTCGGGGGTCTTGGGACCGGCCCATCCAGCAGGACTGGAGTGTCTCTGGTGGGGCCACCAGGACCCTGCCAAGAAGCAACTGGAACAGACCTGGCCCACCCTGCAGACCCCGCCCTCCCAATTGCTGAAGGCTGTTTTGGTCTCTGTTTTGGGGTGATTTGCTGGAGCTTTAAGTGGCTACGGACACACTGAGGGAGAGCATGTTGTTAAAGGCAGAGGAACAGAGAAAGTTGAGTTGCTGCCCTAACACCTCATTAACACCCGTCTCTTCCTGGCCTCCTCCCCCGGGCTGCCTGCCCCTCAGGTACTTTTCAGTCTGGTTCCTGCCTCTGCCACGCCCAGCCCCCGGGCCCTGCCCGCCTGCAGCTCAGCTCACTTTCCCAGGCCCGGCCCCCTCCAGCTGCCCTACTTGGGGATGGCCCTGCCCCACCAGAAATGCAGGCCTTTCTGGACACCCCCACCCCAAACCCAGCAGCTTGGCCTTGCCCCGGCCCCCAAGCCTGCCCTCTGGCTCCAGCCCCCTCCCAGGCTCCTCTGAAATGCGTCCCCTTCTCCAGGGAGCTCCTCCCAGGACCCTGCCTGGCACGCAGGAGGCTGGCAGGAGGCAGATTCGCTCTTGGGGAGGCTGTGGCCGACCCCAGACGGGCAGACGCACCTGGATGAGCAGCTGGTCGGACGCCAGCTGGTTGATCCAACGTGTGTACCGTTCGGTGGAGCTAGGGGGCTCCCTCCTCACCTGGCAGCCTATGATCTGTGAGAAGCAATGACAAACAGAACTTAAAGTTAGTGCAGCTTCCGGGGCGGCAAGTCTGAAAAATCCTATTTCTCGATAATCCTCTCCCTTCTGCCTCTAAACAAATCAGAGCTGCAGCCTGGAGCTCAGCCCCCACCCTCTGGCGCCGCCTCCCTCTGTCCAGGCTGTTGTAGCAGCCCCCATGACGACAGCACCTGACAGGCGCCCCCACCCTGGAAGGAGGTCCCCCCACCCCAGAAGGAGAAGCCCCCCGGAAGGATGTGCCCCTACCCAGGAAGGAGGAGCCCCCACCTCAGGAGGTACCTCCACCTAGGAAGGCATCCTTGCTGTCTGCCGTCTAAATCCCTCCCCCCATAACACGCCTGACTACTTCTCACCACCTCCTTCCCCAGTCCTGCCCGGTCCTGCCTCCTCTTGGCTACTCACAAGACCACCATTTGTTTGCAAGCCACACACTGTCCGCACACCCGGCCTGCGCATGCTGACCCACAGCAGCCCTGTCCGACAGCGCCTCAAACCCAGCGAAGCCCCTGTGCCTTCTGCTGAGGCATGCACTCAGAGGTAGAGATCCTGGCCTCTGGGGTCAGTGAGGCGGGTTTGGAGAGGCTGCAGACATCAGGGTCCTGACACTCATTTCTGTGGGGAGGAACCCTCGTGGCAGCAGGAGGGGCCCTCTGTCCCCCTTTCTGGCCAGGGGAGGGCCGCTGGGGTGTTGGCAGGTAGCAGCGAGCCTGCCCCTTGGTGAGGCTCTCACAGGCTGGCCACTTGGGGACGGGGACAACGCCAGTGTCCCCTCCCACGGCCGTGCTTTCTCCCCTTGGTGACAGTGTCAGCAGGCCTCCGTCCAGCTCCTGGCTCCCTACTGAGACATCATCAGGTCACCCCATGACCCCAGGGTACCTGGGCTTCTTAAATCTTGTGCTACCAAGTCCAGTATCACAATGCGCCGACTAACTTATGTTGTGCAGTTATGCTAATGAAGAGTTTTGAGATGGTTTGCTTGCTTGAATTTTTTCATTGTTGCATTTTTTAATTCAACTTTTTTTGAGAAAGGGTAGACTCACATGTAATGTTAAGAAATAATACAGAGAGAGCGCAGGGACCCTTACACAGTGTCCTCCAACGGTAAGATAGCGGGGTCAGGGGCTCCAGGTGCTTCCCTGACAGCCACACCCCCACTCCAACTGCCAGTGCGAACCTGTCACTTCAGCACAGAAAGTTGAATAAAGTTTCAAGAAAGTTGAATAAACACAATCACAGTGTGCAGCCTTCTGTGATTGGCTTTTTTCTACCCCACAATTCCCTGTCCCTTTTTTGTCTGAAAGAGACTCCACGGCTTAACCCTCTACGGGCACCTGGGCCATTTCCAGTTTGGGGCTGTTACTGTTTGTCTGCGGCAAAGGCGCACACGGGGGTTGTGTGAACGTCAGCCTCTGTCTCTCTGATAAACGCCCAGGAGTGCGACTGCGGGTCGCACGGCAGGGGCACCTTTAATTTTCCGAGAAACTGCCGCCGCTCTTCAGCGACAGGGCCACTTCCGCCACCTCAGCCGCGCGTGGGGCCAGCTGTCCCTGTGCTTTAGTCCGGCCTCTCTGGCAGGCGTGAGGTGCAGCTCTTCCCACCCCCGACGGCTGTGATGCTGGATCTGTTTCCAGGGGCTTACTTCCCGCCTGTCTGACCTCCCAGTGAAACCTCGTTCACGTCTTTCGTCCATTTTCCGACTGGGATGAAAACACGCGGCCATGGTGTGTATCCGTCTTACATACTGCTGAATTCCGTTCGTGAACCTTTCCTTTCTCACCTAAAAACACACTCTGAAAACAGCTGTAAATTAGAACTTGAACGAATCCCTTGCACAGAACAAGGTCCCACACCTGATCTGACCAAGGTGTATCATTTCAACCATCAGTTGTGTCTGTTTCCTTGTCGTGTTGAAACTGGCTTGCATTTGGTTGCTCAACAGAAAAGACTTTGAGGAAAAAAAGGGAAAATGTGAGTCGAAGCTGTGAGGTAGAAACCCTCTGTTTCAAAAGTATCCCCCCATGAAGATAAAGAGGTTTAACCTCCGCCCCTGAGGGAAAGAGCAGAGGTGAGGAGAACCAGGCTGTTTCTGACCCCGCAAGTGCAGGCCTCAAAGGGATGCGGGACAAAGGCTAGAGCCCTGGCAGGGGGTCCACAGGAGCCCCCTCCCTGGTCGGTGGAGGAGCTGGAAAAGCGCGGGTCCCCTCTGCCTTCAGCCCCCAGACAAATAAACAACAAGAGGCCTAAGAGCTGGGTGGGCAGAGAAACAGCCACCGCGGTGTGCAGATGGAACGATTCCATGTTTAGAGAACTTAAGGGAACCAATGGGAAAATGCATACACGCAAGGGTCAGCGAGACAGCAGGATGTAAGGTTAACGTGCAGACATAACGCCATCCACACAGACATGTGGGCAACACAGCGATGATGAGGACAACACGCTTTATGAAAGGAGAAAGTAAAGCAGAATTTATTGGCACAAACTTATGAGAAATGTGCAGAACTACATGAAGACACCTAAAAAGAGGCAAAAGCGGAATCCAGCAAATGGAAACAGTTTTCAAGTTCCTGGATTAGAAGATTCAATATCACAAACCCTTAAATGACCCATGAAGTAAAACCCCAACTTATTTGCCATTAAATCTTCTTTTGGAGCTAGCTGGTTATCTGGAAAAATATGGACAAATAATCAAAAACAGTCAAGACAAAGGGCAGAAAGCATGAGGCGAGGCTCCAACGACAGCTGGGCACCACCCAGTCCAAGGCTCCACTGCTCTGATGCCGGCTTGCCGCCCAGCAGACTGCCTCCTGCCTTCAACAAGTAGCAAAGCAAACAAAACCCATGGAGTCACTGTTCTCACTCAACATCAGGACCCCTAACAGAACGGAAACAGGCAAAGCGAGGCTGCAGCGTCATCAGCTCCGCCTGAGCTCTCTGCAGCCACAGCTTCGGGAGCAGGAAGGCAGGCAGAGCCCAGCGGCCCCCCTGGGAGCGGACGGGCGAGCGGACGGGTGCGCGAGGACAGGCAGCAGCCCCGCTGGGGGCGGACGGGCAGGCAGGTGCGGGAGGACAGGCAGCAGGCAGGGTGGAGGCAGATGGTGGGTGCGTCACAGCAGGGCCCCGAGTCGTCTGTGAAGGACCCATCTGCACAGGCAGGAGAGGAAGTCACAAGGGGAAGAGCCAGCAAAAGGATGCAAGGGGAGTTGGTACAAGTCTGAGAGCGGCTCATGGCCCCTGGTCAGAGTGGAAAGAGCCCGTAGCACGTGGGGCATCAGGTGACATCCTGAGGTAGTGTCACCCCAGCAGTAAAGCAGAAGTGGTCTTGGACCACCTGGTTCTGCTTCATAAAGCTTAAAATCGGTCCTTGAAGATCAGTAACCCAACCGCAGAACACAGCAAAATACTTTCTAAAAGAAAACGACACATCTCAGCACTCACTGTGAAAATCACAAGGTCGGACAGTCAGTCAGAAGTCACTAGGTTTCTGCTTTCTGTAAATTCAGAAAAATTGGGGGGAGATACTTAGGTCTGTTTGTTTGTTTGTTTATTTAATGGAGGTCCTGGGGACTGAACCCAGGACCTGGTGCCTGCGAAGCACCCACCCTACCACTGAGCTGTCCCCTCCCCCCGAAGCTGCGAGGTGTTAAAGAAGCATGAAAAGATGACCTGTAACCAGCAGAAGCAGACACAGAAATGGCCGCGACGGTGGAAGGCAGCGAACAAGGGCGTTCAGAACAGCTGCTGTTATAAACCATCCACGCGCTCAGACAGGCAGAGGGAAATGTGAGCACAAGGCACAGGCAAAGGCGAACGAGAGCGGAAGTTCGGAGAAGAAGGATGCAACGTCTGAATGAGAAGTACACTAGACTGCTTCCTCAGCAGACTAGACACCAAAGAAGCAAGTCATGAACTTGAGGACACAGCAACAGACACACCCGGAATGAGACACACAGGGAAAACAAGGGCCATCAGCGCCCTGTGGAGAGCAGGGGGTGGTCTGACACACGGAACTGCCACGCGAGGGGAGGCGCGAGCGGGAAGCGGAAAACACACTGGAAGAAACGACGGTCACAAAATTTCCGAATTTGCTGAGGACTGCAAAACCACAGATCCCACGCGATGGCCAAGCAGAGCAAACCTTAAAAAAGCCAAGCAAAACCCATGCCTGACATCAGAATCAAACTGCCGAAAACCAGTCCTAGCGAGAAGACCTTACAAGCAGTCAGAGAGAAGCACGGATCCCACGGAGAGACGCGGACAAGGGTGCAGAGGGCTTCTTGCGGGGCTGCGGAGACCAGACAACGGAGAGACGTCTGTAGACTAAGGACAGCCTCAGCCTAGAATCTGGCAGCCAGCTACCACAGCTTCACAAACTGAAGCAAACGAAGGCTTTTCCGGAAAACAAAAGCCAACATAATTCGTCACGAGAAGACTGAGGCTACAAAGAAGATGGAGGAAGCTCTCCAGGCAGAAGGAAACCTGACAGGTACCAACCAGGCAACGGCTGGTGGCAGTGACGGTAAATAGCTGTGTAGAAGCAGAAGGCACTGTGCCACGTGCAGCATCCTTACAGGGTACGTGACTTTAGTATAAGCCAGAAAACACCACACTGCAGGGTTCACAGCGTGAACAGTGTGACGGGAGGTGGTCCTGTAACCTTCCTTCTCTGCACGTGAGATGGTCCCACTTGGGCACCGGAGGCTGCGAGGGCAGACTGCCCGCTGCAGACCCTCGGCCAACCTCTGAGAAAGAACAAAACAGACACGGGTCGCTGACAAGTCAGCAGCACAGACAGAACGGAATCGCAAAACCAAGCCAAACCAAAAGGCAGGAAAGAGGCTTGAGGCAAAACGAAGCTGGAAGAGGAGAACCCAGCCACGTGGAACGCAGACGGCAGGCAGCAACAAGCAGCAAAGTCAACACGACAGAAGACGGAACACACCGAGAAGGGAGGAGGGCGCGGCTCAGGGCAGCGC